CTTGGTGTTGCACATTCGTCAAAATAAATGTTATAGCTATAGAGTCTCTGTTGCTTATGCAAGTAATAAAAAATAAATAATATCATTACTCGAATGTCTAAACTGCCTGTGTAAGTATTAAAAGCTATGAGCCTACATTAGAAACAACTTGATATATATTTAATATAAAAAAAATGGTTTTGATATGATTTAAAATATTTGAATTTTATTTAGATGAGATGAAAACAAAAATTGATTATCCAATCATTTTAAAATAAATCCTGAAATTTTAGATAAATATTTTGAAAACCAATTGGCCAAATATCTTGACCAATATTTTCATATTGATTTATTATTTTTTCCTCTCTCTCTCTCTCTCTCACACACACACACTTTATCGCTACTATTCCTTTTCTGGCGTGGTTCTATCATTTCATCTTCTTCTACTTTTTCTGTTCTTCTTTAATATCCCTTTCATTTTCCATCATCTTTGCCTTAAGCTAGATATTTGCCTTAAGCTAGATACTACTAAAATTACTCAAGATGATATATGTGTACATCAAAATATTCAGAGAATAGGTTCAAACAAGGTTTTTCAAATAGGCTCTATTTTGAGACTGTATGGGTCTTTTTTCGTTGCTATATGGGGTTTCTGTGATGAGGACTGGGATGGTGATATGGTTTTTATGAATACTTTTGGTTATTATGCTGGGGCTGATGGTAAGGGTGATGTTTGGCTGATTCTGGATGGTATGTTTGTTAATAATCGCGAAGCTGTTTTCAGATCCTTGTGCCATAGCTGTTGGCATTATATGGTTGATGTGGTGTGGTTTGGGTATTCTCTTTTTTGGCGGTGGATTTTTGGTGTTATATGGTATTCTTGATCTAATTTTGTTCTTCAAGTTTATTGGCAGGTACTCTTACAAGTGGAGCAAAATTTGGAGAAAGGTACGTTATTTTTCTCTTTGTTTGGTCTTTTTTCTTTATAGTAGATTTTTTGGCAGGAGAACGGAGCTGAAAGCATTCAAGATTATTTGGATTCTCCTTTTTTGGGTGCTATTGCTGAATAGCCCGACTTTATTAATTTCTTTTTGTAATCGTAGTGTAAGGATCCGCCGGCTCGTAGGACTTTTATTTTCTTTTTGGATTGTAGCTCTTTTGAGCAATAGAGAGCTGGTGGAACCTTTTAAGGACTTTGTAACCGTTGTTTTAAATTAACACGTAAGCCCCA